ACTGCAGGATCAGAGCACACAAAGAATGAAAACCTGTATTAGCACCCACTGGAAGGTTCTCTGGAAACAGCAGCTCTGGAAAGAGTTCTGCACACAAAACCTGATCCTGGTTTCTGGGTCATTTCCAGGGGTTTTGAATCATACATTCCTTTAAGGCACGTTCTTCCTTTCACTCACTGCCTTGTAAGAGACTCATTAAAAAAACCCCAACCCCGAAGAGCAAGGAGAGAAGCTCTGCCTAAACTGATAAAACAATGACAGAGGCTGCATCCATAGCAAACAAAGGGTGAAAACTTCAGAACTGCAGCCTCCCGAGTTCTTTGTGATAACAGGAAGCAAAATGTTTTATTGTAGAAGTAAACAACATCCTGACTTCACATTACCTACCCAGGAGCAAGGAAATGAGAAAAGCCTTCCTCACCGAGGGGACAGACTTTAACAACTGCTTTATTTAAAGCCCAACCCCGGACAAGGGAACCTCCTCAGCAAGTAACCAAGGCAGGAGAAACCTGGCAATCGCTACTCAGCCTTTGCAATGGGGGTGCTGAGCCTTTTTCGATGAAAAGCACATCATTAAAAAGGCGCTTTGGCTGATGGGGGGACCCGGGGGGGGGGGGGGCGCGGGGGTGGAGGGGGGGTGGGAAGAGGGGCAGCACCCCGGAGCAAGTTTGTCTGGAAGGAAGGAAAGGGGGCAGAAGGAGGCAGGAAAGGGGACGCAGGGGGAACATCACCCCCCCGCCTTCCCCATCCCCCCGACCCCTTCCCTTCTCCTGCCATCTCCTCCCCCAGCCCTTTCTCCCTGCTTCGCCCCTCATCTCTCTGTTCTGCCTCCTCCTCCCCGTCCCCGCGGCCATCCCCGGTGTCACCGCGGCGGTGGCGGCGGGGGGCGGCCCGGCGCACTCACCTCACCCTCTCCTCCCCTCAGCTGTTTACCACTCCGGGCTCCTCCGGCCCACAGGGCGCCGCCATCTTGGCCCTGCCTCCCCCTCCCATCACAGCGCTTCGCCCCTCGGATCCCTCCGCCGCACAACCTAGTCCCGCCTCACCGCCTCGCTCTCCGCCGGCTTCCCGGCTTCTCTCCCGTTCCCTCCCCGCCCCGCTCGCCTCTCCCGGCTCACGGGACGTTCCCGCCACGGGGGATGAGCGGAGGGGGACAATCCCGCGGGCGGCGCGCCTCCGCGGAGCCCCGCGGCGGAGGGATCTCGGCGGGGTCAGCGCTGCGGCGGCGGAGGTCGCGTGATGCGGAGGGGGCGGGGCCGCGCGCGGGCGGTAAACAAGGGCCGGCCCTGAGGGGACGCGGCGGGCGCGGACCCCGGCCGGGAACGGGCTGGGGCGCCTCTCGGTCCTTCTGTTTCCCCTCGCTTCTCCCGGGTCTCGTGTGGAGAATGTGCTGTAAAAGGAATTAAAATAAAAACAAAACACAAAAAAAAAAAAACCATACAAAAAAACCCCACAAAGCGTCTCGGACGTGCCGCTGTGTGCGGAGCGGTGCTGGTGGCACCCGGCTCTGGTGGGATCCCGCACAGCCGCACCACGGACTCGCGCCCCAAATCTCATTGATTTTAATTGATTAACGTGCAAAGCTCGTTTCCTTCTCCTGTTTTTTTGACCCCTCAGGATTTAGTCATCCAAAGTCCTGCATAAGGATTCTTTGTTTTTGTTTTGTTTCCCGCCCCCCCACACTAACACCCCATCCTTGCAGATAAAGGTTAATCTTTGCCTATGGAAAATGCAGGGTAGGAGAGAAGAAAGGAAATCACCACGGGGATGGATCTCCGGCCTTCGGTTTGCAACAGGTTTAAAACTCAACATTGGAATCCCCAGGCTGGTGGGATCTCCGTGTTTTTCCTTCTCCAAGGAGGAGCAGCTCTGCCTGGGACACACCGAGAGTGCTTCGTCTGACTCTGGAGCCTCCATGAATTGTCTCCAGAGCCAGCAGGAACCACAGGCATTCGACTAGCAAGGAAAAAAAAAAAACCCCAAAAAACAACCAGATTAGAGCCCCATCTGAGAGGGGATTGGTTGATTTTTAATTTTTGTAGCAGTTTTTGTGTTTACCAGCTCTGATCCCTGCAGGACTGAGATAGTTCCTTCCCGCTGCACCTGCAGTGGGTCATCCTGCTTCGTGATGAGATAAGAGTTGCTTGGAGCCAGCATATTTTTAATCTAGTCCTGCCTTGTGCCTGGCAATTAATATTTATTATGGTCTGGACAGAGTGATGGTAGATTTTTTTTTCTTGATGTGCAGAAGACATGTTTGTTTAATCTGCCACAGAAACGAGTGGAAATTAAGATGAGCTTCAGAAAAGAGCTGGAAGCAATTAGTTGTGTTATTTTACCGGGACTTAATTGCTGTAACAGTCAAATTGTCAAAGAAAACATGGATGCTATAGCAGGGGTTTGCTGCTGGATTTGAAAGGAGAAACAACTGCACTAAAAGAGACATGTTATGTTGTAATTAACCTGTTTATTATTACTGAGCTGTATAGTTAAAAATCTATTTACTTAGGGTGCACTGGAGCATGTGACGTGTAGTGAGCACTCACAGCAGCACGCAGAATTAAACTGTCCTTGTGTGCAAGCAGGGCTCTTTACATCCCCCGTGGTCTGTGTGGGTCAGGGCCAGGACAAACCTCTGGGAGCCCAGATAAGCTTTCTGTGGCTCTCCCTTCTCTGCTGAGCCCGAATAAGACAGAACGGGGAAAATGATATCAACAGGAAGAGCAGAAAATAAGAATGACCACACGGGGTCAGCTCAAAGGTTCTTGCAGCCCCAAATTCACCTCCAGCTCTCTGGGTTTGTAATTCAGTTTGTGTAAGTCACCTTTTGGTGGTGCTTTTAGTGGAGAGATGAACAGAAGCCACAGACAGAAATCCAGAGAAGAGTAGAGAACAAGCCAAGCTGACTGCACTCCCATCCTGCAGCTTTTTGCTCCACAGGAATCCCTGAAATCAAATGAAGGGAGAAGGAGTTACCACTCCTTCCAGTGTCCCCATGTCCCTTCAGGCTTTGCAGTGTGGTGACCTTGGTCCTGAATGAGAGTTTCTGTGCCATTAGCTCAGGGATCAGTCTGTCTGCACTTATAGCACTTTTATATATATATATATATATATCATGGCTACCTGGAGGGGCAGAAGAGCTGCTCCAGGTGTTTTTGACACTGGAGGCATCCTCCTTTTCCATAGGTCTGTGTCCAGTCCTCCTGACAGCACCTCTGAAATCAGAGAACATAGAATCTTAGAGTGGCCTGGAAGAGACCTTAAAGCTTTTGACACTACTTTTTTAAGGGTTTTTTTAAGACTTGGACTGTCTTGGGTTTAAGAGGCACATTCTGCAGCCATATGCACTGTGTATCAATGGGAAGTCTGTGCTCAGGGGTGCTGGCAGAAGCCAGCTCCAATGTTTCATGAAACTACATCTCAGTCCTTTTCAGCAGCTTGTCATATTCCTGTTTTGTTTAATTCCTGTAACTGTCTTCATACGAAATCCTGAAGCTGCAATGTACATTTTGGGTTTCTGTTACAATGCTTGTTTTTGTAGTGGGAAATGTAATCCCTCAAATGCCTGTGTTTAAGAGGATGCAAATCAGCTTCCAAACACAATGCCTTGGGAACGTTTCTTTCATGCAAAACTCAGCTAGATAAATATGGAGGGGAGGAGGGAGCAGGAAAAGGGATTGTTGGCTTCTATAAACAACGAGAATTAATTATGCTCGGTATTATGACAGATGGGTTAAGATCAAAATCTGAATCTTTCTCAATGCGGGTGAAATCCACGCTCCTATCTCCGAGTTGCATCAACCCCATTGCACAGCCCGGCCGTGCCATGGGGCAATGCCACGGCTGGCAGCCGTGCCTGTGCTGGCACAGCCTTGGGGACAGCAGGTTGGTGGCTGGCTGCAAGTCCCTCTGCTCTCAGCCCCCAGTGGCCCTGCATCTGCTCCGTCAGGGAAGCCCCAGGCTCCCGCTGAGCCCGGCCAGAACAAAGGTTGTTCCTTCCTGGTGTTCCCCACCCTGAGCTGCAGCAGGAAAAGGGACCCAGCAGAGGCACGCAGCTGTAGGAAGCAGTGAAATGAGTTTGGAAGCTCACAGGGAGCAGGAAACTCCATCTCCAGAGGAGTTTTCCTGCTGGTGGCAGTCCAGTACTCGGCACACAACGGGGGCTGTACACTTCTTTGCCTCTGCAATGATGGATTCCATGGAAGGCATCTCTGCACTCTCAGTTCCACCTGCACAGAGAGAGCTGTGAGCACAGCAGGGGACATCCGAGGGCACACACAGCTCATGCCACTGTGCACCTGCACAGCCAGGAGGGTTGGGATAACTAGAGAACAGGAATCAAGGGATTACTCCTCTCTCTCACAAGTGTTTGGGGATTTCAGCTCTCCTTGTTTGTCTCCAAATAGGAGTGATGCCCAAGGATTCTAAAAGAAAAAACTGTTCTCCAGCTCCTGTTGCACCTGTGCTCGAGAACAACCTGGGGACAGTCACTCTGCCCCTGCTCCATCCTCCCTCCTTCCACTGGGCCATTACTTTGACACTCAATTATTTCACATTTGCAAACCCATTCTCAAACCTTTATTGAAAGCAAGCGATAGAAGTGCAAATTCTTATTATTGCTCTCGAAGAGCTTTTTGCAAAGCTGTTGTTAATGAGCTTGCTTAATGAGCTTTCTTAAATCTATATTTATACCCTCTATACAGCTGTATATAGATAGAGCAATGCCTAAAATATGTGTGGATTGCACACACATATGCCTGGGAAAATGAAGGGTGATTAACACGCATCTTCTTCTGTTATACCATGCAAGTATTTATTCGTTTTTCCTTGGAAATTGGAGAGATAAAAGATCCATTCTGGAATAAAATAATTCTGTGCACATGTGCTCGATGGTTTTGTTTATGAGCCCCAAGTATGTGAGTGTGTGTGTGTGTGAGACAGATGGTGTGTCTGTTTGTGAGAGATATGATGCGGGGATGAATGTCTGTAAAAATACAGGTTTCTTAAGGGCTTTTTAATTTTTTTTTTTTTTTTTTGAAGGAAAAGACAAAATAACAAATGCCTGCTCAGTACATTATTTCCTGTGTCATGCTTTTTGTCAATATGACAGAGGAGTATTCCTGCAGAAGGCAAAGCTGCCCCCAAAAGTGCAGGGTGCTGCCCCCAGGGCTTCGAGCTGGGCATCGTGAATTCTCTTCAAGTTGTCAAAGTCCTGGGAAGTTTTGATAAGCAAATACTTTGTGGGCTCTGCCTCTTATTGGCTGTTTCTTCACCGCCAGATTTTGACACAAATAATCTGATTGAAAAATCAGGGAGGGGAACAGGGGAAAAAAAAAAAAAACAGAGAGAAAAAAGGAGAAGTATCTATTTCAACTGACTGCGACCAAGTGAAAAAGTGGAAGAGGAGTCCTGAGAGGACGACGTCTCGCTTGTCTGGGGAGATTCCAAGGCAAATCCAGTAAAGCAAAGTCCCTCAAACAGGTGATTGATTTATTCTTTTAAACACTTTTAATTGCATTGGTTTTCTCATTTTTCTGATATGTTCTTTCTAAGCTTTTTTTCTCCTTCTTCTTCTTCGCTTGTGTCTGCAAATATGTAATATATTCCATTGCCTAAGCCACTTGTCCTGAGGGCTCCTTTATGGTAATAGTTCACCTGACTCATTTGAATTTAACCTTTTGAAATTATATACCCTGTACTTCACTTTTACGTGTGAAAATGGCAATAGAGCAAAACACAAGAGATGTGACAACGGTCTCAGGTACCTGTGCCCTGGCCAGCTCCATCAGCAGGAGCTGTAGAGTTTTTTCCTTTGCCATTGAGGAGAGGAAAAACTGTGTTTTTCCTTTTATTTGCTCTTTTATTGGGCCAGACCTTTAAATTCAGAGAGCAGCACACCTCTGCTGCCATCCCCTGTGCCAGTTTTTGTAGGTGACAATTCCTCTCCCATTCAGAATTTTTGCTTTTAATCCATCTTTTATTATTTTCCCACCCTTTTAAAATATAGGCTGATTAATCTAACAATTTTTTAGCATATGGAATTAGCTATTTATAGGCACTTCTCATATCACAGGTTTGATTCAATGCTTTAATGATTTGCAAGTTCACATTAAAATTGCATCTGTACATTAAGGAGATCTGGAATTGGGGAGATTGCACTGAATAATTCCATCCATGGAAAAGTTTCCTAAAGCCAGTGGCATTCTCAACATCACAGGGAGCTATGTGAGCTTTCTAAGAGCAAGTGCTGCAATTAACCATCTAAATATTTTTTTCTGGGTGTTGCAGCTATACCAGCATTTCTGCTTAACTTCTTCAACAAAATTTCCACCATAATTTGCTGCCCCTGGCATAATGTCCATTTATCCAGTCTTGCTACAAGAATTAAGTGTCCTGTTGATTTTTCCAATTAAAAAAGCGGTGTTTAAATTACTTGTCCCAAGTACATTCGATTTTGCAAGGGTGGACTGTGAAGAAATTATTAATTTTGTTGTAAAGAGCTGAAAATCTTTCAAATTTGACTTCATATTTAAAGAGTCAAGAGTCCATAAAACTTCTTATTTTATTTTATTTGGGCTCTTAAATCACAGACACGTCATGTTCTACTTTGCACTTTTTTTCTTCAAAAATGTAGTCTTTTGAAAGAGAAACTATTCCGTATTTTTGGAAGCTTCACTTTTTCCAGAAGAAATAGAAAAAGAAGAAAAAAAAAAAAAAAAAGCAGGAAAAGGGCAATAATAAGATATAAATATAAATTATATAAATTAAGCAATTGAAAGAAAAAAGCCCTTTTTAGCCTAAAACTTTGTATGCTCATCAGCTTATCTGAAGATGTGGTGTAATGTACTACTACTGAGTACCAGCCTTGCAATGCCAGTTAAAATTTAATGTTTCACTGAGTGTAGCAAGAAAAAACATTTATTCTCTGCAATTAACCTTGGAAATCTGAAAACAGAATTGCTTGAATTAGAGAAAAATGCAAGTCAGCTTTAGAATGGAGCTTTCACTGCAAATTGGGTTCAATGTGGCACAATCCTGCAAACACTGTCCCCACCAAAATCTTCATAACCTAATTCACTGGAGTAGGAATTTCCTTTAAATCCCATCCAGGACCTGTGGGTTTGGGTACTGAGAGCTGTTGTGCAGTGAAGTGAGTGAGGGCTTCATGAGGAACACAGGATCCAGGAAAATGAAGATCCTGGAGTCAGAAGCCACCAAGCCCATTTGCAATGTTTCAGTGCCCCATTAGAGTTTTACCTGGGATACTCTGCAAAATTATCCAAAAGCGTTGCTGAGGATGAAGGAACTTTGAGTTTGAAAATGGAAATGCTTTTGGATCTGACTGGGGAATTTATAACTGGTGAAAGAAACCCTTCTAAGGTGCTTCAGGTGAGATACCCAAAATAGTGAAGCTGCTTTTTTCCCCTTGGCTTCCACTGTCTTTTCCTCAGGGCACATTAGAACATTATTATACATCTGCATGAATGGCAGGCTAATAAGAATGTCAATTCTAGCCACCTACTGGTTTTATGTCCTATATTGAATTAATAAAAATGCCAGAACACTTCCATTCTGGATGGGCACTCCTGCCCAAGCAATAAATTTCCCTTGTGCACTTACCAGTCCAGGTAGAAACAGCTGGTGCAGAAGCTGAAATGAACAAAAAAAGCAAGTTTAATTTTCAGCAAAAGGTTGAAGCTAAATTCTGTCACAAGCTTCAATAACTCTAAAACCTAGCAGGGTGCAGGGTCCATTGTCCACAGCACTGCTTTTCCTGGGAAATACAGTGAGCCATTAGGAGCAGCTGATCTCTTGCTACAGATAATCTGGAGTTTCGAGGAAAAACAGTCCTTTTTCCTCCCACAATCTCTGCTTGTAGCTTTCCTCTAGCCTGGTTGTGTGAATCACAAAGCAGTCCAGTGCAATTGTTAATTAGCTCTACTTTGGGCTCCCAGTTCCTTTTTTTTTTTCTGTAAAATGGGGTGGGGGAAGGTGACTTCCTTTTGCAACGTTCAGTCCATTGAGGATGGCTGTGCTCAGTCGTGGCTGTTATCAGCACTCAGGATACTGGACCAAATTTGACTTTTACACAGGCTGGGGCAAACACATCCAGAAAGATTCTTTTTATTCATGGACATCTGCTTTCAGGCACCACTGGAAAAGAGGGGCTGTATTCAGTGCTGTCTGTACTTGGCATATGGGCACTGCCATAAAACTTTGCTGGATTGTTTCAACCACCCATCTCCAGTCCTCTGATTTACCTGGCTGAGCTGCCCAGCTGCTGCCACAGGATTCTCCAGCCTGAGGGCAGGGAGAGTGGCAATTCCAGCAGGCACAGCTGGATGCAGGCTCTCACCCCAGGGTTACCCACTGCCACAGCCCAGGGAAACGAGCTGGTTAATCCAGGCAGAGAAATCCCATGTGTGAAGTTTCCTGGTATGAATACCCCTCATTGTGGACACAGTGCTGCCCCACCACATGGGAAAACCCCTGTGAGAGGAGTGGAAATTCCAGGTCTAAAGGGTTTGAGGCAGCGCTTTAACTTGTGGCAGGTGTATAATGCAAGGTTGGGTCTGTGCACAGGTAGCTCAGCTGGGACTGACCAAGAGCTCAGCAGAGCTGCTGGAATGGGAGGGACACGAGCTGTGCAGAGCTGCTGAAGGGTTATACCACTGCAGAACAGCCCTGTGTTTGAGCTGGAGCTATTTCTGTGCCTGCAGCTTTTCACTGGGCAAAGACTCTTTACAGCTCTTTGAATAAACCTCATTAGAGAGTTCCAGGAGAGCAAAAAGCAGCCGTGTGTACTTCAGTGGCCCTTCCCTCAAGGGCCTCCTCAGTGCTGTTCTGTCCTTTTTCTAAAATTAAATTAAAAGTCTGCTCTTGGCCTCAGCTTTCTATTATTCATCTCAAGCTACACGTAAATTTCTTGGAAAAAGATGAAGAAAAACAGGTGAGTCATTTCAGAAGAAAAAATTGTTAGAGCCAACAAGAAATCATAGATGGAACAGTGGGAATCCTGGACCAGATTTTAACAGACAGCAGCATATCCAAAGGCAGCTGGGCTGGGGGCATGCTGGCAATCCCCTGTCCCCAGCAGACCTGGCTTGGGAATCCCACAGCTTTAGGCTGTAAATGTGGCCCTCAGACCTTTGAACAAAACATCACTGGGCTCTGTAATTCTATTTAGCATGAAGGGGCAATAGAGACACTTCTGAGCCCTGGGGAACAGACCTTTCCATCCCTGCCTGTTTGGGATTCCAGGACTGCTCTGTCCTTGGACAGACATTTCATATCATTCCTGCTTAACAGGCTCAAACTTTATGGATTTTTGGGGGTTTCTTTAGTAAATAAGTAAGTTCCACTGAACTGCTCTCAGGAAGGAGCAAAACTTATTAACAGTTTCCAGTCAACAGAAAGTCAGGACTTAAATGCTGACTTTTCAAATGAAATATAGCAAGATTTGTTTTTAGTGCCCCTATCCCAAACAATTACAAGGGAAAATGCAAATACACATGCAAATAAGGAACCAGCTGATATTACTGCACACAACATTGTCCCTGTTGCCACCCTGCCTCCATCAGAGCAGTTACCAGCCCCAGGGAGTGGGCACAGGGTGGGCTGGGTTCTGGGTAGCAAAGATAACACATGCATTGCAAGAGAATTTGGTATGATTAAATTTCAGCATTTTATGTTTGTCCCGAACCCGCCATTTCAACGGTCTGTAATATTTGAGTTGGGTCCAAAAGGTGAATTCTCACCCAGCCCTCCTGCTCTGCCTCTGCTCTCTTGTTTGTCAGCCAGAGCTCCAACTAGTCAAGTAAGAGGGAAGCCCTCCATACATCATTCTGCAGGGATTTCCCTGTCTCTCTCCTATTATTGGTGTTGTTTCTATCATTATTGTTTCTATAATAATTCCACAGTAGAGCCCAGGCTGTGGCTTGGGACAGGGCCCTTCCAGGTGCAGCACAAACACTCAGACTTTCTCCAGTAAGGATCTCTAACCTGTGGTTCCCTGTTTGTCCTGTCAGGGAGGAGAAGATCAGAGATGCAGCCTGTCCTGTAGTCAGAGCAGGACTACAGGAGACAGGTCCTGGCTTTCAATGTGTCTGCCACAAACAGTTTTGGTCTGTAACACAGATCTCAGGTTAAGCCTGTCCCTGTTTCTTTTTCTGCAATCCTTTGCCTCGGCCTGGGGTAGATTGTGAAGTGTGATTTTTACAGAGTGCACTTGACCTGAAGCAAGTGGGAATTTGCTCCCCAAGCCACAGAGGTTTACCTGGTGTTTCTCTGTGTTTCATGCCAGAAGGTGAATGGAAGATGCCACGTTCCTTTTTGGTGAAGAGCAAAAAGGCTCACACCTATCACCAGCACCGCTGTGTGGAAGATGACCTGCCAGTACTCACCTGGGCTCCAGTCACCTCTGCCTTCACTGGTGAGTCAATCCATCCCCTGGGCTTGTAGGAACACACCGAGGTAAATCAATAATTCAGTAGGCAGCTAAGGGACAGGATGAGTGAGCTAAAGAGCATCCAAGGGCTTCCACACAGGGATGTCAGTGTAAGGGCAAGCTGATCCCTTACAGTGTGTCCTTTCTCTGCACCAAATCCACTCTGATCCTCCCTTTGTTTCCTGCTGGGTTGCTGGGGGGATTTGAGCTATAAGATGCTGTGTGGAGTTGGTCATATTTGGGAAAAATGACCAACTTCAGGCCACTTGTAGCTGGGAAAAGAGCTTGTACTGGATTGTCAGTGTTCTACAAACTCCCAACTCTGCCACCTCCATCTCTGGTTTCCTGTGGTCACAGCCCTCATTCTCTCTCGACTGCATCTTCTCTCCCTTGGGGTGTTACCATCTCTTCCTGGTGTTAACACCACCCAACACAGCTCTGCCCATCCCTGCTGTGCTCCCTCTGCTCCTGCTCCTGCTCTCCCACAGCCATCCAAGCAGTGGAAGGGCCAGGGGAATTATCTTCTCCCTTCAGGCACCATTCAAATTTTCTTTATTCAAATTTAGGATCAGTTTACCCTTTGTTCTAGCCCTGCCTATCAAATTAGAGTCTGGCCCCGAGATAAGTTTGATAAAAAAGAAAGTAGGTAACATTTTAATTTCCATTCCCGCCATCATCCTTTGGCCATTTGTTGTGTCTCTGGGACAGTGGCAGGTTTTGACAAGAGATAAATACTGTCCTTCAGCAGATCTATCCCATCTCCAGCAGAAAGGATACACATGTTAATTCTGTGATTTTAGATTTTTACTACAAAGTTTAATGAGGGTTGGTTGGTGTCTTTAAGGTCTGGGACAAGCACTGAGAAATAAATGGGAGTGTGGGCAGGAGGAGACAAGCTCAGTGCATAAGGACTTGCCTCCCCTCTCTGCTTCCCTGCTTGGCTGTCCATAAATCCATGTTAACAATACCCAGCTCTCTCAGGAGAGGGGTGGGGAGGTTAATAAGTTAGTGATTGTTAGTTACCCACACAAACAGAAATGGTTTGAAATAGGGAAATTATTCTTACAGATGTAATTCTAGGGTTGATTTTCTCTAACTGTATCAGGTATCAAGGATCCTATCATCTCATCCTGCCCACTCTGCCTTGCCTATCTCATCCTGCTTGGAATTTCCCTTCCTCAGCAATGGGCAGACCTTGAATGCTGATTGCATCACTCTGCACTTCCTCAGGGAGTGGAGCATGGGCTGCTGTGTTCAGGCAGGAGTTCACACAAGAGTGCAGAACTCACCTAAACAGACACTTCTTGTAGCAGCAAGGGTGACATAACTGTGACCTAAGTGTGACACTGCTCTTTACAGCCACAGGAGACAGGAGACCAGAGGACATCACTAAACAGGACCTGGGATGTGTGGTTCCCAAACAAGAAAAGGACCCACCTGAACTGAAAGAAGACAGTGTCCCTGTCCAGTACCTGAGCAGGATGCTGCCAGGCCCTTCAGCTCCAGGTTGGCTACCCAAAACCCCAATTGCAAAAGCGGTTAGGGCTGAGCTGGTTATGGATCCCTTAAAACTGGGCCCATATTTTCAGTAAATGAGAGCTCTTATTTTGACATCAATGGTCAAACTTGCCACAGGCAGAGCTCATCAGGAGTGTTCTGTATTTCCCTTTTACAGTTCTGGTCTGCACCAGATAGAATGAAGGATTGTGCTGTGATTCCCAGTGAATGAACCTCCCACATTAATGCTGCTCTGTGCTGGGTCAAGGCAGGTGCCCACAGGCTACTTGTTCAAACACCTCATCAAGGAGGGCAAGCAGGGGGCTCAATATTCCCTTAGCCATAAAATCTCCACAGCATTTTTTGCCATAAAATTTCCTCAGATTGAAATCAAAGTCACGATGGGGAATCAGGATTTGAATCAAGAAGTTGCCAACTGCAATTCCTGAGGTCAGGCAAGAAGGGGAACTTTTTAACAGGTGCCCAACTTCAGGCAATGTGTGGCACTCACCTCTCCCTCTCCTTTGCAAACTCAGAGATGGCCATGCCAGGGCTGCAGATCAAGGACTGCACTAACACAGCGAGCACCCCGACCTTCTACAAAGCTGGCTTTTCCTGGGATGCTTTCCACATGCCATACAGCTACCAGCAGATGTCTTCCAGCATGCAGTCAGCCCTGCTGGAGCACCCTGTGAGCCTGTATGGGAGCCACCTCCTGCCCAGCACCGAGCCCCCCCTGGATTACAGCCTGCATTATTCCTCAGACATGGACACCTTCCACTGCGTGAAGTGCAACAAGGTGTGTGCTGGAGGAGAACCTCTGGGGTGGGGAGGGCCTGCAGGGGTTTTCATGGCACACATGAAGCATGAAACCCATTCTTCAGTCAGGCACACCAAAGCGTGTGGCTCAGAGCGGGGCCTGCAGTCAGGAGAACAAGGCAGTGGGAATGCTGCAGTTCACATGAGTTCTCACAGAGGGGAGAATTAAACACAGGGAAGGAATTGAAAACAGACATGGAGATGCAGCCACCTCATGTCAGGAAATCACTGGGATTTTGTTTTGCAGGTGTTCTCCACTCCCCACGGACTGGAGGTCCATGTCCGAAGGTCTCACAGCGGGACCCGTCCCTTTGCTTGTGAAGTGTGTGGCAAAACCTTTGGGCACGCTGTGAGCCTGGAGCAGCACACCAACATCCACTCCCAGGTGGGTGCCATGGTTCCAGAGGACCAGCTCTGGACCTCAGCTCTTGCTTAATCCATTACAGAGGAAGTGGCACTTCCTAGGTGACAAACGTGATGCCTTTCCTGTGGCATGCAGTTGTCTCTTCTCTCTTGGGGTTCCTGTGGGTCAGGGTGACCCCAGGAGAGATCGAAAAAGAGTCTTTGCTTCCCTAGCCCAAACACAGCTGAAGAAAGTCTTGGAATGCTTTCAGTTGCTTTTTCAAGGTTGTTTATTACTTCTTATCTCTATATTCTCTCTCTGAACTGCCATGGTCTGCCTAACACAGAAGCCATGGCAGTCTTGCCTCGAGTCCTGGGCAGCTCTCCCATTATATACTCAAAATTACATGTACCTTGTTTACAGTTCCCATACCAATACCTAAAATCTATGTTGGACAGTGTGTCCCTATCTTAAACCAGTAGAAAAATGTCACTATAACAGCAAGACATGGAGGATAAGAAGAAAAAGAAGGTTAGGACATGCCCAAATCCCTCCATCTTGTCTCCTGAACCCCTAATCTTAAAAAACCCAAAATTCTATTTTTCTACCCTGTGTTAGTTCAAATATCCAACTACTAAAACCCTGGTGACTTGTAATTCCTCATCCAGAGTTGACGGTTTTCCACAGGCTAAAATGGAAGCCACAGATGTTTTTTGACTTCTTGCCAGGGTCTCAGACAGCCAGGGCAGCCAGAGGGATGTCCTGGACTCTGACACGCAGTGACAAGGACAGGAGCTCTGAAAACCACAGCTCATAGCTCTTGGTCTCGGGGACCTCAGTCTGCCCTTCAGAATTCCTTGGAAGGGAAGGGAGGATCATTGCTGCTCGCTCTTCTGTGCCTCACCTCCTGCTAAAGGGTGCAGGAGTTGGGATCACAAGACGTGATCCATTTCCATAATTAACCCTCCCTGGGTTCCCTTTGTGCTGCACCCAGCATTATCAGTCCACGAGCCAAGGAGATTTGCTTATCAAATCTACAACTCTCATCACTCTTCAAGCTCTGTCACATGTCTTGCAGCCTCAGACATCCCATGATTTTCCTTCCCCAACAGGAAAGAAGCTTTGAGTGCAAGATGTGTGGGAAGACATTCAAACGTTCCTCCACCCTCTCCACTCACCTGCTGATCCACTCGGACACGCGGCCCTACCCCTGCCAGTACTGCGGGAAGCGCTTCCACCAGAAGTCAGACATGAAGAAGCACACGTACATCCACACAGGTGAGAAACAAAATATTCCACGAGAAAACCAAAGTTAGAGCCCATCATGCTGATCTACAGAGGTTTAAAACTGGGGATAAGGGTCCAGAGGCACTGCAAAGTCATTATTCCATGTGGGGTGAGACAGCAGGAGGCTGAAGCACGTCTGCCTGACAAGAAGGTGGTTCTTGGCCAGCCTCTGGTGCATGTTGGGGTTGTACCCAGCCCTGGATGCTGGGAATGAGGTCACTCAGCTGGAGAGGACTGTCCCTGGTTCTTCCCACCCTCTGGTGCTGGATCTCAATCCAGACACATCACCAGGAGAGCTGGGCTGGCAGCACCTGATGCCCAAGCACGTCTGACTCTGACTCTCTTTGTTCACCTGTTAAAGTGGGTTTTTTTACCATTTTCTGTGCCCTGCAGGGGAAAAGCCCCACAAATGCCAGGTGTGTGGCAAAGCCTTCAGCCAGAGCTCCAACCTGATCACCCACAGCCGCAAACACACGGGCTTCAAACCCTTCAGCTGCGAGCTCTGTGCCAAGGGCTTCCAGCGCAAGGTGGATCTGCGCCGGCACCGGGAGACCCAGCACAGCCTCAAGTGAGGGGTCTTTGCTGGAGCTCCCCCTTCATGCTCCAGGGAACAAGGCTGTCCACAGCACCTCCATCCAGCTCAAAAAGCTCCCATGGTGTCCCGTGTTCCCCTGGGGACTGGCCAAGTCGTGCGTTGGCTTTGGTGTTTGGCACCACAAGGCCTTGCACATTCCAAAGAAACCTGGGGGAGCTTTCACTTTTTGATTGCAACAGGTACCAGCCCTGATCTGACATCACCTGCTCAAGTGTAAATCCAGAGGAATTCCTCCAAGGTCACTGCTACTCTGGCTTTACACCAGGAGCAGACTCCAGTTCATCAGGCTGCCCGGTGGGGAGGAGGGGACTCCTGGGCTGGTGGCAGCAACAATCTATACAAAGCTGGTGCTGTAACCATGTTCTGCTCCGATGGTTGGGAAGATAAGCCCAGGGCATGCAAATAGATTGCATTCAGTCAGCTGTGTTCAACCTGGACTGGCCTTCTGCAGAGACTTGCCCAGGCCATAAATTCTGCCAACAGACACCTTAAAGTCATTTCTTTCAGCAGAGCATTTACTGTGATCAAATGACAAGTTAACTGTGCTGTATTTTTAGCTTGGAGTGGGAGGAAAACACTGAAGAAACAGTTCCTATCCCTAGCAGATAACAGGGGTCTCTAAATACATTCCTCAGACACACCACACTGCAGAGATCCCAAGCAGGCTCCAGGAAGAGCCAGACCACAGCACCAGGCACGAGCTAATAATCACCCCCTTGTCTTGGTACCATGGGAGAGTCTGGCTGCTTTTGGAATCAGGGCTGGCATGTCCCACAATATTTCCCTGCATGCTGGACATGCCAGCCTAGAGCTGTCCTGAGCAATCCTGGGTCACTGCATGGGCAGGAGTGACCTGGAGATCGATGTCAAGGGACAGATTTCTGCTTGCCAGGCACTCTCCTCAAGGAGGAAGTGGCTGAGCCTGGACATGTTGGCAGAGCATGCAAGTACCTCACAAGTATTATACAAAGAGAGCAGTGGTATTTCCTCCTTTTGCCAGGTCTAGGGGTTGAAGCAAAGCACTGGAGCAAGTAAAGAACCAGTTCCCCTCCAAGCTCTGCCAAATTCTCTCTCTATAAGCTTTGGCAAGTCACTGCACTTGGCTTTTGTTTTTCCACCCCTCCTGGTGGCATGGGGCCATTCACTCAGGTTTGTGGAGTCCCCTGAGCTCTTAACAGGAAGGACAAAGTATTATTATAACATTATTGTAACACAGACAAGTGTTTTCAGTTAACTGGGGCATTGGAGCAGCACATGGCTCTCTCCATAGCTGCATCCCTGAACACACGGCCTTGGACAATGGCACCACTGGGAATTCCCTGGGAACAGGCTGTGGCCATTCACTCCAGAGGCTTATGAAGGAGTGCCCGTCATGGGCAAAGACAAAATGATCCAAGTGGAAAATTCATGTATTGCCAGGAGAGAACTGCCCTCAGTTCCACTGCTGTAAATCCCAAGTTATTCTCCTAAGAACTAAAATGTTCTTGCCCTTTTAATGCTGTGCCTAAGCTGTAAGTCATTAATATGTACCTGGAAGCTCAAACCCAGAGTCTGTACTCCTGGCTTTACTTGTACACTGTAAATATGTATTTATACTTATTCTAATGTATATTTTTATTGCACTATACCAGACAGTGACATGTACAGGCCTGCTGGGATTTATCTGATAAATCTTTTCCTTCTTAGTAACTGGGCTAACACAGTGTATTTCATGTTCAAAACACTCATTTAAAGAACGGCTCACACCTGACTCTGGGGACACAGGTAGTGGGGATGGGGTGCAAAAGGAGAAGGGAAAGAGTCTAGGACTGCTCTTTATGGTTTGAGTGGGAATAAAGATGGAAATTCACATGCAGGAAAGGGCTCCCATTAGAGAGACTTCCACGCTGGAGACAGATTGGTGCAGAGCCCCACAGAGCCAGGGCCAGCTCTGCAGAGCAGGAGGGCCACACCAGGTGCATGGAATGGGAGCCCAACAGAGACAAAGCCCCCCAAAAATCCCTGCTGTCCTTCCCTGAGCCATTCTGGGGAAGGTGCATAACCTGTGATGGAACTGGACTCCAGCCCCACACACACCTGTGAGCACCCACACATGCACAAGCATTGCTCAAGGTAAAGTCATTTCAGCTTATTAAAATTACTGCCCAAAATGCAAACTGTGTTTGTTATTCCCCTTGTCCTCCACTAATCTGCAAACAGAAATATTCAAAGAGGCTGTCAGCATCTGGACTGCTCAGGAGCAAAACCCCCCACAGGGACACCAGCACAGACTTCCCTGGGGACAGCAGGGGTGTCTGACTCATGTAAAGCTTCCCAATTTTGGCCATTTGGAGTCAAGTGCTGGCACACATCAATTGGCAAGAGTGCCTGTGACCACTCATAAAACCAAACCCGACAGCTGGTTCTTCTGAGCCTCATGAAGAAGAGCTGCTGTATCCATTAGATTTTCATTCCTGCCCTTGATTTCCAAGGTAGAGAGGAGCTATAACCTTCAGTGGACAGCTGGGATCTTCTCTCCTGTGTGTTCCTACAGCTCCTCCCTCCAAACACAGCACGCATCACCCCAGTCCTGCCTGCTATTTCCCCAGGACTCCAGGGTGGGTTACTGAGCCCAGACATTCCTGAAGAGCAGCTACACTGGAGGAGGCAGTGCCAGGAGAGAGCTGGTGCTGTTAACACGTAGCCTGGTGCTTGTGAGGAGCCTGGGGAGCACATCCCAGGAGATCCAGGGATGACTTTGGCTGGATGGGCAGCGAGGGGAGGAGCACCCTGGGCTGGCTGCAGGTGGTGACAAAAGGGAGGAGAGGACAGGGAATTAACTTGCAGCATTTTCTGCTAAGACACTACAGTTTCTTCCTCTCCAGTAATGAGTTGCCACTTTAAGATCACCTGATGCCCAAGCCCTGGCATTGCTTGAGGCCTATGGATGCCAGCAGCCTGAACAAAAACAAGGCAGAGCCCCACTGCCCCTTCTTCCCTCCCAGCACAGCCCCAGCCATGGGCAGAGATGCTGCAAACAGCAGGCAAAGGGCTGCCCTGGTCCTTGGAGCTGCTGAATCTGCACCACAGGCACCCAGGGATGCTCAGCACCCATCAGGACCAGGCCATGGCTGTCACCAACCCCAAACACACCTGGCCTTGCTCTCCAAGCATGCAAATCCTCCTCAGTTCTGATCATTCAGGTACAACCCCTTTCTCACCACCTCCCCTTGCATCACAAACATTCTGGTCAGTCAGTCAAGGAAACAGATAGCAAAAAGCAAAATCTCAACTAATCTCTGTGGCTGAAGAAAGAGCTGATTGTTTTCTGCCTCCCTTTGAGCAGGCTCTGTATCCTGTACTTCCCCAGTCCCCTTCACACCTTCTTCCCTTTATTGCTGGGGAAAAAAAAAAAAATCCTGGTCTCTGGGCTGTTTTGTTTAGCAAATGAGGGGCATGCAAAGCACTAACCCCGGGCATCTGTCAGGAGGAGAGAGGTGCCTCTGTGTCTTGCAGACAGCCTTGAGGCACTGAGAGCAGCAGCCCAGAAGAGCTATGATTAAGGGTGGATTTCAGTTTGGACACGGGATGAATCTGTCCCCCTAATGAGCACAGAGCCACAGGACACCTGCAGGAAGCAGAGGGGTGTTCCCAGCTAGCACAGCATTGGGCTGGACTTATCCCAGGCTGTAACAACCTCACCGAGTGCAGCCCTGCAAAAGGCAAGACCCTGAAGCTTTCTTGTGTTGGCAATTGTTAAGGAAGCCCTAAGGAGAGCTGAGAGGAAGGACAGCGAAGAATTAGACTCCACTTGGGTGCAGGTTCTACTGGCTAAGATTATTTCCTTCCCACCTTAGACATCACAAGAAAGGGTTTTCAGTGAAAAAAAGATAAGAGCAGAGTCTCTTGTCCTCACAGCAGGTTGCTCCCCAGTCTCAGGTGATGGAGACACGGCAGCAGTTTAAATCCAGCCCATCAGCACAGCACGCAAAAGGAAATTTGAAGGTGTGGGGCAATCTCCCAGAAATAGCTGCATACGCATTTCCTTGCACAGGGAAAACATTCCTGCCTGCCATTAAGGGTCTAACATGGGACTGGATATGGAGCTCATCTTGCAGTGCTGCTACAGAATAACAAAAAAAAGGTGCATCACGAACCATCTTTTAAACATTTCATCTGATCATAAAGCAGAGATTTTCCCCCCACTTTTCACCTGGAATAGCACATCCACTCAGAAGATGCAACCCAGAACAGCCACACAAAAATTATTCTGGGATAGTGAATCTCTGTGCTGGATGAGAAATAAGAGAACACAGATCCCTGCAGAATTCCTGGCCCACCATCTTAAAACTAGCAGTCACCATGGACACACACTGTCTGCAACTTTAAACTGAGACTTGAGATCTGCCACACATTTCCTGCATGACCTTGGGCAAGACTTGAGTGCCGGATTTCTGAAGTTGTTCGGCACACTGTGAAGCTCTCAGAAGATCTTCACCCCATCTCTGAGAGGAGGATAATCATTCCCCCTCTCCCCTTCATTTCACTTGTTTATTTCAACGGTAAGATAGTCAGGAATGAGACTGCTGCTCCTTATCTCCCACATCCAGCACCTTGCACAATGGAGCCTTGATCTGGGCTGGAACGCCCAAGTGTGACCAATAACCAGTGATAGGAACTGAGCCCAGCAGAGCACCCTGGCTCCAGGGCTGCTCAGCAATCCTGCAGGCAGGCACACAGACCCTGCATTAAACCACTAAACTCAAAACCAGCAGAGGGACAGGGCAAGCAGCAACACAGGGAGGATAAACCAGACAAGAGCACTTTGACTTGTGAATGATATTGCAGGGAGAGAGACAGAGCTGTAAACATCCCACTCAATGCCCTCACTTTGAATGTGCTGCTTCAATCTGAGCACTTCTCAATCTGCTCCTTGGGCTGATTTTGACCTGTGGGCCCACTGTGTTCACTGCACCAGCCAGCAAGGCAGGCAGAGAGCAGAGAGTCCTCAGGAATGGGGAAATCTGGGGCTGGGGAGGAGCTGAGCGTGCACTGAGCTCAGCTTTGGTCTGATAAGTTTATCAAGCACTGCCGGCTGCTAACTGTCAGCCGGGGAAGGGAGCCTGTTAGGGAGGAGGAACAGCTCCCAGGGCAAGATAGGACAGCCCAGGCCTTATCAGAGTGCCTGAGCCAAAGAGGGAACTGGAGAGTGAGCACTTTCCAACCACTTCATCTGAACAACAGACAGATTGGCAGGAAAGGCCTGTCAGCCCTCTGCCACCCAGGCACCCAGGCAGCCCCCCACCCATGCAAAAAACCCGGGTAAGGGCAGCCTGGGAGCTGCAAAGGTGAATATTGGGACCTGAGGGAATGCACAGGAAGGTTTTCTTAGAGCATTGCTGAGTGTGAGAGTCAGATTTGCAACAAACAATTCCAATGCTCACTGAGCGAGCTGCTCCTGTTCAGTGCCCAGAGCAGTTCCCCTGCCATGCTGCCTTCCCTGAGGTTTGGGAGGGGGATCCACCACTTCACAGTTGCACCAGTAACTAAGGTTTGCTGTACAGATAATTGTTCTGTGTCTGAAAAATACTAAAAACCCCTGAGTGAACAGAAGGCAGAAAACCCTGACCGTTCCCATTTGAGCTGCAAAAGCGTGAGCCAGCAGATACCCCTTCCCAGCTTCTCCTAGAGCAGCAATAACCAAACCAACAGAGCTGAAGATCATACCAGGGACACCCTCCTGCATTTGGATGAGCTCCCCTGGACCTGTGCAAGCTCCCTGTGCAAACACCTGAGCCATGACAGGGAAGGGAATGAGAGATCCCTGCAGGGCACATCCTCTGCTTGGTTTCCCTGATGAACCTGGGTCATGCAGGATGAGCCAGTGTCACACCTGCAGCTTTAACACGTTTCTTTAGCCTGCCAGACCATTCTATTATCAGATCACTGCTCATCCAGAGCATATGGACAGCCCTCATCCTGCATCCCACTACCTTTGGTTCAGGCTGGTGTCTTGGGTCCTGCCTGTATCTGGGGATTTGACTGAGATCTAAGCCCTGCCCCTGTGCTGGCAGGATGTGCTCATCCTTGGCTGCAGTGCTGTCCCCTGCTCTCCCTGGGATATGAGGCAGGAAACCATCAGCAGTAGGTCAGGAGATCTCTGCTGTGACCTGGTGACTCAAAGGTTCCCTTTCTTGATAAGAAACATACCTAGGAAACAATTTTCTCTCTTAAAGCACATATCTAAACCAGGGCTGAAGTCCTGCCTTGTATGCACCTACTTCTCTCCCTGAAGAGAGGGAGCCCAGTATCTGTAGGCATCTAAAGTTACACCAGCTGAGTCACAGCCCTGTGGTTTCTGCACCACTCTCAGGCTGAGTTTCTCACAGCTGATTCTGCTCCAGACCATAATCTGCAGTTCTCCAGGTCATGAACAGCCTCAAAGACATTTAATTCCTCTGTGCATCAAGGGCTACCCAGCAAGCTCCAACAGCCACATTCAGCACTGACCAACACAATTCTGAAGTTCAAGGCTTCTTCATGAGGAGCAAGGGGTTTAAAAACCCATTTCCATTGATTCTGCCTTCCTCTTGAATAATTTTAAAGCCATGGGACTTTATCTTACATCCCAGACTCATCTATATTAGGAGCTTCGGTGGGATTTTTAGCAGTGGTCAAGTTCACTGGTTTTTTCTCTTTATAAAATAGAA